TGTTTGTAGATATACTGAATTCAATAAAAGCTAAAAGGGAAGGGCAAGAAGGAAGAAGGAAGAAAGAAGGAAAGTAGATTGGGCAGGCAGGAGGAGAGAAGGAAGAAGAAGAAGAGAAGAAGGAAGGAAGGAGAAGGAAGGAAGGAAGGAAGGAAGGAAGGAAGGAAGGAAATGCATGCTAGGATCTGCATTTCCCATAAAAGGGAATACTATTTTAAAGAAAATGGGTGCTCTAGTCATTTGCTTAATTCAAATAAGATGTAGCCACATAGGATTGCAGAATTTGACGGCCTGGCTCATAATTGGAAACCACTTCACTGTCACTTCTGCACAGAGAAGCTGTATGTTGACATTTTCAGACTTTTAAAAAATCCCTGTCACTTAACAATTGCAAATGTCACCATCTTACACATGCAGTTTTCCTGTTTTTGGAAACAGATTTTAGAAGTTAGTGGAGAAAAAAAGTGCCTAGGGGTTCCACTAGTTTTGCGTTTGAAAAACACATATATACGCGGACAAATTTTATCTTTATAGTCTAAGTGTCTTAGTAGCGCAACTGTTTAGAAATTCTGCTTGGTATTAGGTTGGTTAAACACTTATTACTAAAGGTGTTTTGGATTCCGAAGTTGGATCTGTAGTTTTTGTCTGTTATTAAGGAGCAGTTTTCCATGTAATTTTTTCAAAGGCAAAAGGTTATGCAAAAATGACATATATCGTAAAATTGAAAGTAAAATGCACAGTACTGATGTGCTCAAAGTCCATGCATTTAAATTCCTTTGTATGATAATTTATGGTGATCATGTCTTCAGACTGCACTATTAGCATACTCACCCCTAACAAGAAGTTCTGCCTCATCTGACACACTGTCTGCTGTGGTCTGTACCCTGCAGCCATATCTCCCAGCATGCATCAGAAGGATGTTCCTGATCATTAAATCTGCAGAGGATGCTTGCTGAAAGAGGGATGAAGTGCCAGTTTAAAATGTTGCAAATCTGCCTAGTTCAAGGTGGTTTAAGGGGGAACTTTGCATATTTAGTCAAAGGGCCCATTTTTGGCCTTACAATTTATATGACAACAATTCAGAAATCAAGCATGCCCTATTTTATGGAACACATGGAAGTTATGTTTTTAACAGTTGCTAATAAAGGGTTTAAACAGTTAATATTGCATATAATGATTTAGCAGCTAAGGTATTTAAGAGTTATCTAAATATGCACGAACAAACTCATATCTTCGGAGGTATAGGAAAAATAGTCAGCGAGCAAAAATTATTGCTTTGCTATTCAGAGACAGGCCTACTTTTGTGGCAGGTATATCATATTGTGAGGAATAGCAACTTGTGGGAAATTAGTTACGAGAAGATAGCAGTCAAAAGATCATCACATGTGGCTTTATTGAATGGTTCCTTTTGTTAAGTACACTGTGGACAACAGAATGAGACAAGTGCATAGGTGAAAGATCATTGGTCTCAAAGCCATGCATTTTTTCTTAACAAAGATATATTCCTCCAAAACCACCACCATCCGGGAGCAGGGACAGCCTGAATCTTTGTTAATAAATGCAGTTATAAAACACACAGGAGGCTCAAAACAACTGATTCTTTTTGGGATCAAGTTGATTAGAACATAGGCGAAGAAAAACTACAGTTAACGAGATAAATAAGTACCAGGGAGAGTATCTTTTAGATGTATTAGTTTATGGGATCGCTGATGATCCTATACTTTAAAATGACTGGTACAAACCTTTCATTACGTAATGTTGTCTTTCATTTACCATGTCAGGAAAGATAGATTCTTTTATTGTGATCATGTAAAGGCCTGGTACAAAAATCATGAGGTATCTTTTGCGGGTAATGGCACAGCAAAACTCTAATACTCCCTTCGGATTCCATGTTGCAATCAAAGAACAATGGACTGGAATGAGGGGAAGATGCATGCAGCTTGAAATGACATCTTCAAAGAACTCCCAAATTTTCTCTAACAATCATTAAGCACATGAAATAATATTTAATGAAAGTCATAGAGAAGCACCCAATATTAGAGATATTTTAATTTTTGATGGGATGAAAGTGAATTACCTTTAAAAAATGATGTGTTTGGTTCTTAGAGAGCAGTATCTGCATGATCATTTAAGAATTTAGCTGTTTGCCTTTATTTTGAAATAGACCAGTGGCTTTTATGAAAATTGTGAAAACCCAATTAATTTCTTGAAATCCTTCTGATTCTTTTTTTTTTCTTGGCTTTCATAGAAAGGATGTGAAGTCATTGTGAATTTTTTATTACTCAAATAATACGTTTCTTTCAGTGAATTATTTACTGTATATTACGTTGGAGACCATTTCTTTCTGGTATTTAAATTGTTTTGTTTTGTTTTCTTTTTTTGCCTTCCTGTTAGTCTTATGATAGGAACTTCTAAGGGTATTGGAGTTTTCTCTCATGAAATAATTGTTAAGACGTGGTCTGGTTTAGTCATTTACAAGGAAATGCTTCATGGTGAGAATGCATTAAAATGTCATAACAATTATTTTAAGGAATGTGATATTTGTCCAGTGAATGTCCTGCACTGTTAATTTCCTTAATATAAATTGTTATCCTTACATTCTAACAAAATGCCTTCCTCATCTACACTAGAGTAAATACTCACTTCTTTCATATCTGAAAAAGAAATTTTAAAACCACTTGATTGTTTTGTAGGAAAACAAACCCAAACTGTAAACATTATAAACCATAATTCAGTTTCAAATTAACATAATTTAATCATGTATGAATGAGCTTATCTATATTTGCCTCTATGTGTCATGTAGCACTACTGTATCTTTTTTCTTCTTGCAGTTCTAATAAGCTCTCTTAATGGGGTACTCAATTAAATTAATCGTGAATGAATGTGAACACACTATAGGTCCACAATAGGGCCTAAGTTTAAAGGCAAAACTAAGGAGAGGCCTCAGAAAATCAGGAAGGATTTGATTTTTTTTTCTAGAAAGAACACTGTCTGAAAGACAGTTCCTATTTTTTGCTTGTTTTGTTATATTTTTTGTTTACTTGCTTGCTTTTTCATACCACAAACCATATTGCTGGCAGTTTAACAGCAGAATAGTACTGACTATAAGCCATTTTTCAGGTTTATGTCTTCAGAAAAATTATCTCATGAAATCACATTCCTGTAATTGAATAACTATCTCATTTTCTAGACTTTTTTTCCTTACAAATAAATTATTTTTTTTTATCCTGGATAAAAGCCCCCAAACCCTTTTCTTTCTTTACAGTGAAAGAAAAACTTCATGGGATGAGGAAGAGATTTTGTTAAAATCACAAAAGTTCTGAGGAATTCAGGAAGTGAGGTATAGCTTATCTTCCCTATGTTTGTTTTTTTTTTTAAACTTGGTTTCTATAATTCATGGCGTGTAGTGCTTTATAAACTGGCCAGAGCTCCATCACCATTTATCAGGAGCAAAAAGTCTACAGCGTATTGCATATCTATCAATGCCAAGACTATTCAAGGAGTTAAAATCATCTCATTTGGGGCCTATCCCTTCTCTTTGGGATTATATCTCCATCATATTTTTTAAAATCCTAAACAAGGAAGATTAAAAGTAAAATGAATGGATCGTGAACACTAAACCTAAATTACCCTTTCAGTAGATTTACTGATCTTTCAAGAGAAGTAATGAGAAGAATTCATGTGAGAACCCATTATACTTAATCTCAGCCCGCAGTCTGCAGTTCCTGAGAGAGTCTCCACAATTTAGTGCACTTTTAATGAAATGGTTACTTACAGCAGATGCTTGCTTTCTTAAACTTAAACCTCGTTTTCACTTTTTATCTCTGAGGAGTTTCTCTCTCTTGTTTTCTTTGACACTTGCTTTATTTTCTGTTGTTTTCTTTTTAAACCATTTCTTTGGCTTTTTTGAATAAATCATATAACCCGAAAAACAGGTTATAGTTGAAACTTCTTGTTTCAAATGAATTTCCTCATAACCATTGCTTAACACAGTGCTCCAACACCTACCGCATATAGTATATGACACATTGTGGGAGCTCAATGAATATTTGTTGAATGAATAAATGAAATCTTTTTCAGAAAGAGGCTGTGTGTTCACTCTCTGTGAAAGCAGCAGCAGATCTTTGTCATTTACATTTCTTGGTCACATAGGCTCAGTAGAGTGGTTGTGAGATTATCGTGACTTTTATTTATGACTTTGAAATAAAACAGAAAAATGCTATCTTTCCACCCAAGTCCAGTTCTTTATTAGCTTTCACTTTGACTAAGTGTCCTGTTCATCAGACATAAGACTGCCAGTTATATTTCTAAATAATGGAAGCTCATTTAACATTGCAGTTCCAAGTGTCTGCTGGCTTTTGTTGCCTTCAGGATAAAGTCCAATCTTATCCTCTCTATCCTTTGACATACAGGGCTCTTTAGAGCACAATTCTACCTCCTGCAACTGAACCCTGTGCTTGTATAACACCAACCTCACATTTAGCCATACATAGGAATACTTCCCAAACTGTGCCTGTTTGCACAGCTTTTTGTTCCATGGCAGATGCTCTTTTTTCTTTCTCTGCTTAAAAGATACTTTTAGACACAGCTCAAATGCCATCTCCTTGGTAAAGTCTTTTGGGCTCTCCAGGGCTTCCTTGGCTTCACCCCTGGTTATGCTCTGAAGTTACTCTGCTCATATCTCTGAACTAACACTTGTCATTCATGTAAGTCTCCCTCACAGTCCAATATGGGCATTCCCAGAGCCAAACTAGGCACTAGTGCAGCTGACGATCATTAAGCCAGCTAATGAATGCATGAATGGCTCTTGCTTCCTTGTTTCTCTGTGGCCAGCAATACCAGCCCTTCCCCCTTTTACCTCTAAAATAAATTAGAAACGAAAATAAGAAAAGACTATGGAGAAAGACAGTGGAAAAAAATCACTTAAAGAGTATATATAGTTCTGGAATGACAGACTTGTGTGAATCCTGGCTCTAACCCTTATTAGATATTCAACTTGCGAAAATTATTGCTCAGAGCTTCTCTCAGAGCTTCAGTGTGATAACACGGGTAAAGCCCATAGCAGTGTGTCTGGCACATAGTAAGTGTCTGATAAATGTTATCTGCTAAAGGGCACTATAATTTCACTCTTAGCCAAGAGGAATATTTCTTTAATTGATATTCATTTCCTTGCCAAACTGGATAGCAATGTTTTCCATAGCTATAGTAAGCTTTTTGATAAGTTCTTAGCTTTATTTAGATATAAGTATTCCCCCACCCTCATTCTCTCTTATAGTGTAGCAGAGAACTGTCAGACTCAGAATAAGAAGATCTGACTTCCAGCCTTGATTCAGCAACTTCCTGGCCCTGGGACTCTGGGGAAGTCACTTTATTGGGATAATAACACCTTCACTGTCTCTCTCATGGGTTGTTGTAGGAAATCAAATGAAACAATGTACATACATGAACTATTGGGAAATGCTTCAAAAGTATAAAGTACTCTTAAAGCATTTTTTTAGCAGGTGATAGCAGGATGCTGCACACATAGTAAATACTCTGAGAATGTTTGGGGGAGGATCATTTAAATAACAAGACAACTTAAGTTGGTGCTCTCTTAAATAGTGGACTCATGCTGAACATCCTGGTCAGAGGCTGCTGGGTAAAATAGTGTCTGTGCCTTCATCTGGGGTTTATTTAACTTTCTCAAGGGGCTCACACAGGGCGTCCCTGGTTTCCAACAAACATACTATAGACCATTTTTCTCCATAAAGCAAAGTAATGTGGCATATAAATTCTATGAGATGCAGTTTTGAAAATCTTATCTAATACAAAAAACTGAGTATCGGCTACAAGACATGGGTTATTAGATATGATTAATGTTATTGACATAAAATCTTAGATAGTTAAAAGGTTTCCCCGGTAAGAGTATTTATTTTTCCCAGAGGATAATTTGTTTAAAGTACCCTACCACGT